AGTAATTTCAGGTTACATGTAGCCTAAGCCAAATTTCACCCAGTGTCACGGACAAATATTTCTCCCTTTGCCATATATTGACTGGTTCAAGGCTTCTAGATGCTTTCCCTTATTCAGTAATTCCATCCTCCCAAGCCACCATCCGGATTCCCTTAAACTTTTTTTGGCTGGTCCTAGGGCTTGAACTCAGGGCCTGGGCTCTGTCCTGGGCCTCTCAGTGCCACTTCCAGCCTTTTCTGTTTATGTGGTACTGAGAAATTGAACCAAGGGCTTTATGCATGTTACGCAAGCACTCTACCACTAAGCCACAATCCTAGCCCCAATTCCCTTATACTTCTATAGGAAATGTCCTTCCTGTAGAAGACATTGCAGCTACATTTCAGGCAGGGGATTTTCTAGGCCTCTGGCCTCATACCTGGCAGCAGCTCCCGGGATGGAAGTGCCTGAAGAGCAGAAAGTTCCCCCTGTGTTTTGGTCCCATGGCTCCGCTGATGCTGCCGGAAGAGTTTGACGTTGGAGCCCGTGAAGTTGCAATGGCTGCAGTGGAAAGGATAATGGGCCTGCCGGTGAAGCTCCATTCCCTGCTGGCTCCCAAAAAGCAGGGGGCAGCCCCGGAAAGAACAGGGCACAGGAACTGCTTTGTGGGTCTGCCTCAAGTGGTGTTGCAGACCCTGACGATCTTCAGCAGAGAACACACAGTCAGACTCTGGGCAAGAGAAAGTGCTGGGAGTGGTCCGATGAATCTTGAAGTGGCTCTTCAAGGCCTGAGGTTGGGCAAATTCTTGTCTACACACAGGACATGGCAGGGGGCTATCTGGCACGCTGAGGCCATGCAGAGGGCCATGGAGAGTGAGGTTGTTGGGGGGCAGTTCTACAGAGCGTGGGGGGGTAGGAAGGTCTTGCACAGGTTGTGTATGGGTCTCCGTGCACTGGTGCAGGGACAGCAGAGTGGGCTCTGCAAAGCTCTGTTCACAGCGCTCACAGAAGTACACCTCCACCACTTTTACCAAGACACCTGTGGGCAGAGGACAGACAGAGAAAAGCGTAGAATCAGGTGGAATGAGACATGCAGGAGTTAACTACCAGTAGGAATGTAGATGAATCTTTTCATAGTCATGGAGTACAGATGGACCTGAAGTCTGGCTCTGTACCTTAACTGTTAGCCAGGTCAGACAGTCTTGTCTGGCATATGTGTTTAGGTTCCTAGTGTCTAGTACAATTCTTTTTGTTGGTGGTGGTGGTGGTGGTCGTGGGCCTGGGCACTGTCCCTCAGCAATTCAGCTCAAGGCTAGTGCTCTACCACTTGAACCACAGCGCCACTTGTGGCTTTTTTTTTTGTCGGTCATGGGGCTTGAACTCTGGGTCTGAGCACTGTCCCTCAGCTCTTCAGCTCAAGGCAAGTGCTCTACCGCTGAGCCACAGCGCCACTTCCGGTCTTCTGGTGGTTTATTGGAGGTAAGTGTTTCATGGACCTTCCTGACCCAGCTGGCTTTGAACTGTGATCCTCAGATCTCAGCCTCCTGAGGAGCTAGGATTACAGGTGTGAGCCACTGGCACCCGGCTTACTTGTGGCTTTTTTTGCTTATGTGGTGCTGAGGAATCAAACCCAGGGCCTCATGCATGCAAGACAAGCACTCTACCACTGAGCCACCTTCCCAGCCCCTCTAGTACAATTCTTGATGCAAGATGGGTTTTAATAACTATGGTAAATGAATGAACATATAAAAATCAAATTCAGAAAGCATTAAGACATATATTGCCTAAATAAAAATTAGAAACTTCTAAGAGAACAATAAATTAGGAAGAATCTCTGTAATATACATGAACATGAATCACTTTCAAATTCTGTAAAGAATGTGTCAAAGGCACAGGAATTCAAAACATGGAGAACAACCCTTTTCAGAAGAGTATAATTATCTCTGTAATACCATTTTGTTTGTTCATGTTTAATGCATGGCAGGGGCTGCTTTGGTACTTCTTCCCTGACCAGTGTGTCCACTGGGCAGGCTTATCTCATTTTCCCAGTGAGGGCTCCTGTACCATCTTTTCTTTCCTGATTCATCTGTGTTGCTAATCTTTTAGATGTACCCACAGCTCTTCCCCCCCCCACACACACACATTTTTTTATTAGCACATATTAATTGTACAATTTGGGGTTTCATTGTGATATTTGCATATTTACCTACTTTATTACTCTCCCACCTTTGTTTTTTGTTTTTTTTTTTTTTTTTTTTTGTCAGTCTGGGCCTGGGCGCTGTCCCTCAGCTCTTCAGCTCAAGGCCAGTGCTCTACCACTTGAGTCATAGCACCACTTCTAGTTTTCTGGTGGTTTATTGGAGATAACAATGTCACTAACTTTCCTGCCTGGGCTGGCTTTGAAGCACGATCCTCAGATCTCAGCCTCCTGAGTAGCTAGGATTATAGTGTGAGCCACCAGCACCCAGCTTTTTAAAATAGATTCATTATGAACTTTCCACACATGCATACTATGTTTTCAATCATATTCTCCCAGCTTGCCTTTTGTTTTTTTGGTTTAGTCCTGGAGTTTGAATTTAGGGTCTAGGTTCTCTTCCTGAGCTTGTTTTGCTCAAGGGTAGCACTCTATCACTTTAACCACAGATCTACTTCCAGCTTTTTGGTAATTTATTAGGCTAAGAGTCTCATGGCCTTTCCTGCCCAGGCTGGTTTCAAACTGCAATCTTCAGATCTGAGCCTCATGAGTAGCTAGGATTATAGGCAGAAGCCACTAGCACCTGACATACCAGCTTGCCTTAAAAAAAAAAAATTGCTGCCAGGCACTAGTGGCTCACACTTGTAATCCTAGCTACTCAGGAGGCTGAGATCTGAGGATCACAGTTCAAAGCCAGCCTGAGCAGGAAAGTCTGTGAGACTCTTATCTCCAATGAACCACCAGAAAACCGGAAGTGGTGCTATGGCTCAAGTAGTAGAGTGCTCCCCTTTGAGCTAAAAAGCTCAGGGACAGCATCCAGGCCCAGAGTTCAAGCCCCAGGGCGACCAGGGACTCTCTATAAGGCCACCAGGCTTGCTGCTAGTAAAGCCATGATTGAAGCCCAGGCTAGTCCTATATTTATTCATCTGGTCCATTTTTTTAAATTGTAATTGTAATTTTTTGTTTTTGTTTTTTCCCAGAGCAGAGGACCAACTCAGGGTCTTGCACTTGTCAAGCAATGCTCTTCCAATGAACTAAATCCCCAACCCCTTATTGTTATTTTTTGTTTAAAGAAAAACTCAGCTGGGGGGCTGGGAAGTTGGCTTATGTGGTGCTGAGGAATCGAACCCAGGGCCTCATGCATGCAAGGCAAGCGTTCTACCACTGAGCCACCTTCCCAGCCCATGGCTCATACCTATAATCCTAGCTACTCAGGAGGCAGAGGATCATGGTTCAAAGCCAGCTCAGGCAGGAAAGTCTGAGACTCATCTCCAACTAACCACCAGAAAACCAGAAGTGGCACTGTGGCTCAAAGTGGTAGAATACTAGCGTTGAGCAAAGGAGCTCACAGACAGTGCCCAGGCCCTGAGTTCAAGCCCCATGACTGACCGAGAAAAAAAAAAAAAAAAAAGCTCAGTCAAGGGCAGGTGTCCCACATTTGTAATCCTAGCTACTCAGGAGGCCGGGATCTATGATCAGGGTTCAAAGCCAGCTGGGTGGGAAAGTCCATGATATTCTTGTCTCCAATTAACCTCAAAAAGCCAGAAGTAGAGCCGTGGCTCAAGTGATACAGTATTAGCCTTGGCACAAAAGCTTAGGGACAGTGCCAAGGTCCTGAGTTTAAGCCCTCGGTCCAGCACACACACTCTCCCTTTCTCTCCCTCCTCACCTCCCACCCTGCCCCCCATGCATACACACCAAGTTCAACTAGCAGGATATGGGGGTATACCTGGGGGGAGATAAGTAAGACTGAATACTATTTAAATAGATTATTTGCAACAATGAAAATAGAACAAGGAAACCTGTTTGGGACATTATTTCTTTTCTCTCTTTTTTTTTGGGTGGGGGGGGGGAAGCAGTGCTGGGGCTTGAACTTAGGTCTTGGGAGCTGTCCCTTAGTATGCTACCACTTGAGCCACACTTCCACTTCCAGCTTTTGGTGGTTAAGTAGAGATAAATCTCATAGCCCTCCTGGGCTCGCTTTGCACCTCTATCCTCAGAGCTTAGCCTCCTAAGTAACTAGGATTACAGGCATAAGACACCAGCACCTGGCTAAGGGCTGCTATTTCTTAGAGAGAAGGGTGCAGGTAACAGAATAGGTAAAATTGATTGGACTACAGTATAAACTTCTGTGAAGATGTAACCATGAAACACCCTTGTATAACTGATATAAACCAATAAAAACACACAGAACAAAACTGTTAATAATAAATTAATGAATAACAAAAAATAGACCTAGTTCAACATGGCAACTTAAATGATACCGAAGTTTACAAAGAATAACCATCTCTACCCTCACACACATGAAATGGACTGTATCCTTTCAATCATTTGACTTGTCTCCTCTTCTCCCCACCTCTCACCCCAATTTTCACTTGTTAAAAACAGAAGTTCTTTTTTTGTTGTTGTTTTGTTTTTCTTCTGAGTTAGGATCTTTCCATGTGGTCCAGGCTGGCTAAAGTGGCCTCCAACTCTCAATTCTCCTGCCTCTCAGCCTCCCTAATGTTACGTCTACAAATCATACCTAGCTATCAAAGACTAAAAAAAAAAAAATCTGGGCTGGGAATGTGGCTTAGTGGTAGCATGCTTGCCTAGCATGTATGAAGCCCTGGGTTTGATTCCTCAGTATCACATACACAGTAAAAGTTGGAAGTGGTGCTGTATGTAGCTCACATGGTAGAGTGCTAGCCTTGAGCAAAAAAAGCTTGGGGACAGTGCCCACCCAGGCCCTAAGTTCAAGCTCCAGGACTGGCAAAATAAAAAAGGACTAAGGTCATGGAGCACCATAAGACTTTATGTTTAAACCCTAGCATCACACACACGCACACAAAAATCTGTAAATACATTTCACTTTCTGTTGTTGACATCATGGTATTTCAGAACACTGATAAAGTAAAATGAAATTCTGCTCTGATGGATAGCCAAGATGCTTCCAGCCATTATAAATGAAGCTGGCTTTACATATCTCCATCCCTGTGTGTCTTTTTGTTGTTGTTGTTGGTCGTGGGGCCTGAACTCTAGGCCTGGGCGTTGTCCCTCAGCTCTTCAGCTCAAGGCTAGCTGACTACCACTTGAGCCACAGCGCCACTTCTGGCTTTTTTTCTTTTTGCTTATGTGGTGCTGGGGAATCGAACCCAGAGCCTCATGCATGCAAGGCAAGCGCTCTACCACTGAACCACCTTCCCAGCCCCATCCCTGTGTGTCTTTTTTTTTTTTTGTCGGTCGTGGGGCTTGAACTCTGGGCCTGGGCACTGTCCCTCAGCTCTTCAGCTCAAAGCGAGCGCTCTACCACTTGAGCTACAGCGCCACTTCCGGTTTTCTGGTGGTTTTATTGGAGATAGGAGTCTCATGGTCTTTCCTGCCCAGGCTGGCTTTGAACCGCGATCCTCAGATCTCAGCCACCTGAGTAGCTAGGATTACAGGCGTGAGCCACCAGCGCCCGGCTACTGTGTGTCTTTTATAAACGTTTCCCAGAATGGAATTCCCTGGTCACAGTATATATACTGTAAAATTTGTTATGTTGCTCACATATTTGTTATGTAACTGGCCTTCAAAAGCTCACATTAGCCGGGCGCCGGTGGCTCACGCCTGTAATCCTAGCTACTCAGGAGGCTGAGATCTGAGAATCCCGGTTCAAAGCCAGCCTGGGCAGGAAAGACCGTGAGACTCCTATCTCCAATAAACCACTAGAAAACCGAAGTGGCGCTGTAGCTCAAGTGGTAGAGTGCTCGCCTTGAGCTGAAGAGCTGAGGGACAGCACCCAGGCCCAGAGTTCAAGCCCCATGACCAACAAAAAAAAAAGTTCACATTAGGGCTGGGAAGGTGGCTCAGTAGAAGAGTGCTTGCCTTGAATGCATGAGGCCCTAGGTTCAATTCCTCAGCACCACATAAGCAGAAAAAGCCAGAAGTGGTGTTGTGGCTCAAGTGGAAGAGCACTAGCCTTGAGCTGAAGAGCTCAAGGATAGCTCCCAGGCCCAGAGTTCAGGCCTCATGACTGACCAAAAAAAGGTTCACATTAGCCCAGTGCTAGTGGCTCACGCCTGTAATCTTAGCTAGGCAGGAGGCTGAGATCTGAGGATTGCAGTTCAAAGCCAGCCCGGGCAGAAAAGGCTGTGAAACTGTTATCTCCAATAAACCACCAGAAAACTGGAAGTATTGCTGTGGCTCAAGAGGTAGAGTGCTAGCCTAGAACATAAGAGCTTAGGGACAGTGCGCAGGCCTAGAGTTCAAGCTCTATGACTAACAAAAAAAAGAAGAAGAAAAAAAGTTCACCAGGTGATGGTGGCTCAGGCCTGTAATCTTAGCTACTCAGAAGGCTGAGATCTGAGGACTGCAGTTCAAAGCCAGCCCAGGCAGGAAAGTCCATGAGACTCTTCTCCAATAAACCATCAGAAAACCAGAAGTGGTTCTGTGGCTCAAGTGGTAGAGCACTAGCTTTGAGCTAAAGAGCTGAGGGACAGCGCCCAGGCCCCAAGTTCAGGCCCCACGACCGGACCCCCCAAAAAAAATTCTCTTATGGTGTAACTTTTTGAAATTTAAAGATATTAATTCACTGTTACATATTAAAAATGTTTTCCCCCAGCTGTTTGTTTTGTTTGAGATAAGGTCTAGATATACATAGCCCAGGCTGGCTTAAGCTTGATATGTATCCCACTGAGACTCTTTTTTCTTTTACCACATATTAGAAATATTATATAGTTGTACTAGCTAATCTCTCCCAGTATTCTTTGCTACTATACTACACAGCTATGGGAAGTGAAACCACTGTAGCTGGACAGTAGCAGTTAAAAAACAGAGACATTAAGCACTGAAGGCTCATACCTGTAATCCTAGCTACACAGGAGGCTGAGATCTGAGAATTGTGGCTCAAAATCAGTCCAGGCAGGAAAGTCCATGAGACTTCTTACCACTACCACCACAACAAAAAAGCTAGAAGTGGAGGTTGTGGCTCAAGTGGTACAGCACTAGCCTTGAGCAAAAAAGCTGAGATAAGGGCTCAGGCCTGACTTCAAGCCCCAGGACCAGCACTATAATTTTTTTTTTTTGGGGGGGGGAGTCCGGTCGTAGGGCCTGAACTCTGGGCCTGGGCACTGTCCCTCAGCTCTTCAGTTCAAGGCTAGCGCTCTACCACTTGAGCCACAGCACCACTTCCAGCTTTTTTTCTTTTTGCTTATGTGGTGCCGAGGAATCGAATCCAGGGCCTCATGCATGCAAGGCAAGCGCTCTACCACTGAGCTACCTTCCCAGCCCAGCACTAAAATTTTTTTAAAAAGAAAGAAAAAACAAAACAAAAGGAAGTTACTTGAGAGTGTGGGTAGGGATGGGAATGGGGGAGAACACTGAAGGGATGACACTGACCAAGATACATTACAAACTAATTTGCTGAATTAAAACCCCTTTGTACAAGTACTTAAAGTTGGGACAAATAAAAAGGAGAATCTTTCTGCTAGGGTAAATACAAATGCTCAACTCTACCTCCTAACCACATGCCTTGGATGAGTGAAGTATGTGATACACAGGAAATTAGGGTGAGGAAATACCAGTTACCTCTGGAAAGCCCTGCCAAGACCAGGGTGGTGGAGCAGGCTTGGCCTTTTGCCTAATCCCTGGCTACAGTTTCTGTGTAGTAGGGTCAGTATGGGGGGAGAAGAATCCAAGGACTGTAAGAGTAAGGACAGCCAGAATTGGATTAAGGTGTCAGGAAAGAATTCTTTCTGGATTATTGCCTAGCAGATATGAAGCCCTCATAGGGATAGACTTTGCTACAAGGTTGTATACTACCTTGCCAGCCTTCCATCAACATACACCAACTGCAAACCAAATGACAACATCTCCAAGTATAAAAATAGCATGCTACCTTGTGTTACCATTTTCAGAGAGAAGTACCAAAAATAGCACAGACAAAACCTTTCAGGCTTGCTTGTCCCACTGGCTTGCTAGCAACTGTGCTTGTACCTGGGGTTTCTCCAGGAGCTCCTGGGGACAGCGTTCCAGCTACTGTTTCCACAATGATCTCCATGTTCCCTGGGCCCTCTTCAGTAGCTGTGGCTTCTACCAGTAGGCAGCCTGAGTCAGCAGGCAACGGTGCAGGGTCCCCAGAAGCACAGGTACTCGGGACAGGCCCCAGGATTCCATGGTTAGAGAGAGATGGGGGAATCAGCAATAGCTCAGAACACAGTCCATCCATCTCCCCAGTGCTTCTGGCTTGCTGGGAGTCCAATACAAGGTCTGTCATCACCATTGACTTGTGTGCTCTGGCTTCTTAACTGCTAACAAGTCAAGCAAAGGAAAAACAAGAAGAATGGTTAGAGCTTTTACTTTCTTCCAGGTTGGTATAGCACACAGTCCAATGCCTACCCATTTCGATAATTCTTTAACAGCAGCATGCCACACATTATTATCCTAAATAGAGGTTTTCTTTTCATGATAATGTTCAGAACAAATGATGATGGGGTCAATATTAGGAGAGAGCCAACAAGTTTTGGCCAATATACCAAAGACTATACATTATGTTTCTTTTCTTTTCTTTCTTGTGCTGGTCCCAGGGCTTGAACTAAGGGCCTGTGCACTATCCTTGGGATTTTTGTTCAAGACTAGAGCTCTACCACTTGAGCCACAGCTCCACATCTGGCTTTTTGGTGGTTAAATGGAGATAAGAGTCCCATAGACTTACTTGCATGGATTGGCTTCAAACCTGTATCATCATACTTCAGCTTCCTGAGTAGCTAGTATTACAAGATGAGCCACTGGTGCCTGGAAGATTGTATTTCTTGCTAGCTAAGTGACCTTGGTCAAATTATGAAGCAGTTTGAGCCTCAGTTTTCTTATCTGCAACAAAATTGGGTAACACTCAAGAATTTCAAAAGTCATTTACCTTTTACTGCTTGATCTTATTATTCCTCAGTGTCCATCTTGGCCCTTCTTTCATCATCTGGCCCCTGCTGACTTCCAGACATGTTTCCTACTGCTAATCCTACCTCTAAAGAGAGCTCTGAGCCAGACTTTTTTGCACCATCTCATCTTTTTGCTCTCACAGCTAGCTTGATGTGTCTTTTCTCCTTCTCAATCTCTTGTCTGACTAACCAACTCCTAAGAATTCTATAAAAAGCCGCACAAGGTCTGGAGGTGTGACTCAAGTTGTGGAGCACTTGCCTAGCAAGCACAAAGCTGTGAATTCAAACCCTAGTGGGGGGGGGGGGGGAAGCTGCAAAAATATCAAATATTTCCACTATGAAAGTTTCTTTTTTTTCCCCCAGGGCTGAGGACTGAACCCAGGGCCTTGCGCGTGCAGGGCGGGCACCCTTCCGCTGGGCTAAACTCCCAGCCCCTATGAAAGTTTCTTGAATTCTTAACTTTCTCTCTTTTGGAGTCCTGATGGCTCTTTTATCCATACCTCTAGCAAAAACTGTACTATATGATGCTCCATTGTTAAATGATCACTCTTACTTCCTATGTAGTTTTTTTGGTTCAACAACATTATCAATTCAATAAACAAAACCTCCAATAAACTATGCAAGACAAAGAAAAATAAAATTGCTAGCTTAGAACTGTGGACAGAACAGCATCAGAGTAAAGCTAGGTATCTTGTACCAAGGTATCAAACCAGTGGTTTCTCCCATGAAGTAACACATCTGGAGAGATTTCAAACACATTTAACTTACTGTATATACAGCCTCAAACCGGAGCACAATTGAGAAACGAATGAATGACAAAATGCGTGTCCTGTTATACATGGCTGAAGTGAGCTTAAGTAGAATCATTTTTGAAATGAATATTAATGATACTATTCGTGAAATCGAGTTACATATCTGAGTAAGGGCCAGGAGGCAGGTGAAAACTGCCATTCCTTGTTCTCCAGAATCCCTCGGCTCAAAAAATGGTGATCACTGGAATATAGGTGGCAGGAAAGTGCAATTCCACGATTAGAGGGATTCTTTGGAAACCCCAGCCCCCACTTACAGCATTGTACAGTTGCTCTGCGGATTTAGTTCAGTTCCCGGCACACGACCCGAGGCGTCGGCTAGATTGAGAACCTCCGCTGTCTGGAAGGCAGAGGAGACAGGTTGGCCCTGGAGAAGAAATGCGCTTACCTTGGGAACACGGGACCGAGAAAGAGAAAGGGCGAATTAAGGGGAGATGGAAGGCTTGGGGAGGCACCGAGGTTTCCACGGGTCTCTGGGCTCTTGACTCACCTCCTGGCCTTTGACAGATGCCGTCGCCTCGCTTCTCCGGGCCTCGGCTTTCCTAATCTGTAAAGTGGAAGCGGCGACAACGTCCACATGGTCCGGCGGGCGCCGGATCGCAGGCGTCAGACAACAGGAAGGGCGTTCAGTAACCTGCAGAGCTGGAGACGGTGCATCGTCACGCCTGGTCCTGAGAGGCAGCGGGGACCCGGGCGGGGTCCACGGCGGTGACGCGGGGCTGGCGCTGGGACGCGCCGGGGCCTCGCTCGGCAGCGTGCTCCCGTCAGGCGCCGCCTCCCACCGGCTTCCGCCGCCCGGGCCCACTCCTCCTAAGGCTCCAGAAAGTTTTGCCTCC